TAGGAGGGCCTGTAATTCAGGCCAAGGAGGAGAACAATCTAGAATGCTGGCTGTCTTATTCCATTTTCTGATACTAGTAACAATACCATAGCTGGGTAAAGACAAAGAAAAGGGGTTTGTTTTGACTCATGATTCTGAGTCAAGGTAGAGGGTAGAGACCATCTGGAGATGGTCTTCTTGCTGTTAGAGTCCTGAGGCAGCATAAGACATCACATAGTGACAGACAGGTAACATTCAAGAGACCCCTGAACCCACTATTGCAGCATGCCCACTTTTTGATTGGTTTTTGTTTTGAGACAGGGTCTCTCTATATAGCTCTAGCTGTCCTGGAACTCACTATGTAGACTAGGCTAGCCTAGGACTCACAGAGATCCACCTACCTCTGCTGGGATTAAAGGCATCCGCCACCACCCCCAGTCACACTTTAAAAAAACAATTGTTTTTTCATGTGTGTGAGTGTTTTCCCTACATGTATGTATGTGCACCATATGTGTGCCTGGTGTCTGTAGAGGTCAGAAGAAGGAGTCAGATCCCCCAAAACTGGAGTTAGAGAGTTGTGAGCCACCATGTGGGTGCTGCAGAGAACCTAGGTTCTCTGCAGAAGCAGCAAGTACTCTCAACTGCTGAGCCATCTCCTTAGCTGAGTACATCCACTCTTGCTATACCTCTTTAACACATTTATCCATTAATCACAGGAACAGAGACTCATTAGGAGAGGGCCTATTCACCTCATAAAGATCCTGTCCATCCCACGTCAGTTTCAGTCCTGTCCATCCCACTCTTAACATCTCACCATGGAGATGCAGTTTCAACATGCTCTTCAGAGGAGACAAACCACGCTCAAACCACAGCACTGGCTAAGAGTATGGACTCTGCAGCTGTATGGACTGGCCCTGGAGTCCAGCTTTCACTCTCCTGACTATTGACTTTCATGGCTTAGACTTCTTAACCCCTCTGATCCTGCCTTCTCTTCTGTTAAGTAAGAGGTACTCAATGACATGGGATGGTTGTAAGCATAAAATAAAATAGTAAGTGTAAAACACTTGATATGGTGCTGACACCTAGTACTTAGGATATGTCGGCAGCTACAGTAGTATAGAGACTTCTGTGAGCATTATGTACTTTGCATTACATAGTAAAAATTTAGTAGATGTTGGCAACAATTGTTACTGATATTATTATCTCCAGGAGCAAGAAGAGTTAAGGCAAATAAAGATATTTTTCTTTATCTTGGCCTCAGGATAAGAAGCTTAGATCTCTAAATTCATTATCTCTACCTCACCCCCCTCCCCTTCAGTAAAGGTAAAAGTCTCAGAGAGGTAAGAAGAATCAAGTAGCATCCTTGGATCTCGAACTTCTTAGGAGCTTACACCTAGGACTGATCCATTTGAGCTAGTCCTCCTTGACTCTAACTCATTCTTTGTCCTTTGGAAAAACACTTCTCACTGTGCCTCATTCTTCTCAGTGATAAACTGGTGGGGGAAGGCTGTAACAGTCAGGATAGGTATTGATAGCTGCTGTAACAAAGAGTCCTCTCACAGTGGCTTAGCATCATGGGTCAGTGATGTTGGAGGGCTTTGTGCAGCCATTCTGGGCTCTAGCCTGCTACCATCTTGACTCAGTCTCCTCCAGGATTGCCTCATCAATCTCTTCTGGTTCCTAAACAATGAGTCATTAGATGGGGAAGAAAGGAGAACACAGAAGGTACTCTGCACTGAACCATCTCAGCCCAAGGTAACAAGCCTCGTTTCCATTCACATTCCATATAATAGCCAGAGAAGGAGCACTAGCTAAGTATGAGAGACTGGGAAGTAAGGTCCAACTGTGCCTCAAGAGAGAAGATACCACAAGCCCCTGTGACCTGAGCCATCGCCTACCTCACAAATCAGACAGTTTCTGTGACCTCTGGCTCCACTGGAGCAGTCTGGACTCTGCGGAGTCTGGCCCTGTCTGCAGCCTAGACCCTCCTCCCCAAGCTTTGCAGTTCCTCCCTCCCAGCAGGAAGAGAAGCTTTCCCTGCCAAGCCTCCTTGAGGGTGGGTGGCTGGTGAGATAGTGATCTTACCACGCTTATTGCCTCTTGGAAGGCAGGTGCTGGAAGAAAACCAAGTCCCTCTGATTTTTCTCCCTGTTCCCTTCACATTCCTTCCCAGGATAAATTTAACCAGTGGAGCCTAGGATGCCAACTTCTTGTTCTCTGAGTCCATGTCAGAGCGCTCATCATGGATGCAGCCTCAGGCTGTATGTGAAGGCTACAGGACCACAAGCCCAGCCCCTGCCCCGCCTCAAACATCTGTGATTTCTCCCCACTCTCCTTGCCCAGTTACTATGAGTACATCACTGTGACAGGCATCTTCAGTTCTCCAGTGGTGTGAGAAAGCAGAATTTAGAAGGTCTCTAAGACCTAAGGGGTGCCTGCATCCTTAACAGCTAGCTAAAGACAGATGGTTCAGAGATTCCAAGTTTGGGCTGTGGAGTCATAGAACCAGAAGTCATCAGAATACTGACTCAAGCAAGTTACCTGCTCTTCTCTCTCATCTATAAAATGGGTCAGCAACAGTGCATTATTCATGAGGTTAACTGAGGTATTCTGAATATATTTCTGGGGCTTTATAAATAGTGGGTGCTGAGATGGTCGTGGTCTGCTGGTTTACATACCCTCAAGGCAGTTTGAAAGCCATTTCTGAAATCTTCTGTCCTTTTCAAACACTTCTTGGAGATATCCCTGGAGGTTGCCTTGAAGATCCAGGCTCTTGGGTTTCACCATGGGTATAGAACTGGTACCCTTCCTGCAGTCCATTCCATCCTCCTGCTGCTGCATTTGAATTCAGTCTGCTTTGCTTTGACCTGTATAGTGCTCTCCCACTGTTACCCAGGCATTACTTTACCAGATTTAAACATTGTCTCATTCCTCACACATTTTTCTTGACTTCCAAGCCTTCCTTTCTTCCTGCTCAGTGGCTGTTCTTCATTCAGCATCCCTCTCGGGTCATTGCCATTTTTTATCCTGGGTCTTGCTCTCTGGAGAAGACTCTCGGGCCTTCCCCCACTCTGTCCCTTCAACTGCAGGGCCCACAGGAAACACCTTGTGTCTGACACCCCTGAGAATGCTTCCACTGAATGGTTCTCAGCTTTACTTGGTGGCAGATTCAGCACTCAGACTCAGGCCTTGTCCAGGTATGGGTAGGAACAGAAATCTGCTACCTGAACTTTACTGTATGTACTGCTTCCAGATAGCAGAAACATCTGGGCCTGAGCTCCCTCATCTGGAAAATGGGGGCATTTAGGGTAGGTATTCAAAAGGGTAGGTGGCCTCAAAAGATTCGATTACATGAAGAAACATGGGACAAGAGGTGGCAGCCTATGTAGGTGGAGTTTTCCCATCTTGGGAACCACTTCCAAATTACTAGGCAGAGGCTTATATTGATTGTAAATGTCAGCCTATAGCTCAGGCTTATTACTAACTAGATTTTACATTTAAATTAAACCATTTCTATTAATGTATGTTTCGCCAAGTGGCTCATGGCTTTACCTGTCCTCTAGCATGTCTTGTTCCCCTCAGTGGCTGGGTGGCATTTCAAACTCTGCCTTTCCTCGTCCCATCATCCTCAGTTTGGCTTTCCCACCTAACTGTATCCTGTTCAGCTATTGTCCAGTAAGCTTGTTTATTGAATCAATCCCAGTGACGTATATGCACACAGTGAACAAAAGGAATGTTTCTCAGCAAACCTTGGTGCTGAAGGACCCCAAGGCTGGTAGCCTGTGGAAGCTATCATCCCAGGGCTGGCATAGGCAAGCAACTGGAGAAAATGTGGACTCTAGATCAAGCTGAAGCTGCTCTGCAAGCCCTTGGCCTATGTGGGAAGTAAGCCACTGTTGAAGGCTAAGCAGACTGAACACCCATCCTTTCCGCTCTCCTGTTGGACAAACCCTTTAGACAAACCCACCTAAAAACCAAGCAGACTGCTTGGCAGAAGCAGCAAGAGACAGGCTCCCTGGGCCAGAGCTGGGCAGAGAAAGATGGCGTTCAGTAGACAGGATATCTGTTGTGGGATTTTAGTAGTACTGAGTTGGTTTTGGTGAGTATTCACCAGCTGTTTTAATAGGACAGGCACACCCCTATTTTATAGACATGGGAGCTGATACCCTGGGGGCTAACAAATATTAAAGGCTACACTATTTTCAGATGATGACTGTAGGATCTAGACCCATTTCTATCTGGCTCTAGAGTTCCCCAAAGGCAGCCAGAGCAATGGCCAGCATTTTCACCCTGTCTTCCTGCCACAGCTGTGATCCTCCAGCTCAGATCCTCTTAGGATGCACACTTCATCTCCCAGCTGTACAGGTTCAAATGTGAATGTCCCTAGGAGAGACACCACCTCAACCATTGCATTCAGAGAACAAAGTTAGCACCGAACAAAAGCAGCTTTGGCTTTACACTTACAACTATCTGGACTCTTTTATTTCCATCATGACACTTATTCCTGACATTAGGAACCCACTTCACAGCAGTGGGATTTTTCTCAGAGAGATTACACAGTGCTGAGGTTAGAGCCTGGTCTGTGATAGGCAGAGCCATACAGGGAGAAGTATATTTGATTTAGAGTCCAAATGGTCAATGCAATTCCAACCCAAAGCCACAGGCTGGTCTCCTCCCTGCCATAGGCATCTGCAAATTGGGGTGTGAACACTACCCTTCTGTGTGGATAACACCTGAGTGTGGGAGGAGTGAAATGTGATCATTTCTCTAAGCCCCCAGCTTATCAAAAAGCACCCAGCAGTCATGGGCTCACTCACACACACACACCACTCACCAACAAAGATGCTGATTCTGTAGGTTCTAGGTATGGCCCCAGAATCTGTTGTTGAAGTCTCCATATCAGTGCAGGAAGAACTATGGCAGGCATCTTACCAACCATCAACTGCTTGATTAATGACTATTGAGTACTAAAGAACCCTAAGAGTTCACACAGGAGACCCGTTTTCACATCTTGCCTCCAGGTTTGCCAAATACTACAAGATGGAGAATGGCAGTGAATACCGCACACTCCTGAAGGCTTTTGGCATCCGCTTTGATGTGCTGGTGTATGGGAACGTGAGTCCTGGGGTCTAGCATATGAGGGGAGCCAGGGAGGTTTCCCATGCTTACACTTGGGCCTTGAAGAGGCTCTCAGGGGCTGGGGTCTTTCACTGGCCAACTGACCACTTCCCCCATCAGCTCCCTATACTATGTAGAGTGGAATTGTCTGACCCTCCATAAACCCTTCAGGCTCCACTACCTCTCTAACAGGAGCCCAAGTCTAACCTCAGCCCTTCCCTTACCCCCTCTCTATTGGACCTTCTGTCTACATGTCTTGCTCCTTATACATCCAGGCTGGCAAGTTCAACATCATCCCTACCATCATCAGCTCCGTGGCCGCCTTCACTTCTGTGGGAGTGGTAAGTCCAGCCTTTCCAGGCTCTTACAGGGCAGTTGGGGTGGGGCCCAGCCAGGCATGATGCTGTCAAACAGCTCAGTTAAGCCCTCCCTCTGGCTTCCAACACTGCTGCTAAGTAGCCCTGGTTTGGGCATCTGCCGTCATTGCCTCCCAAGGCTCATGTGCTCCAGAGACTGCCTTCCTATTTTCAAGTGGTTCTGTCTTATCAAAACTCCCTACCTCCCACCATGAAGGGAGGGAGGGACTCTGTTTCCACAGTCCTCACCAAGATGTCATGGTGAGGAACAGAGCCACGAGGGAAGGTGGGGACAAAGGCCCACTGCCAGGGACTGCTCCCCAGCTCCCTCTGCTTCTGCCTTCACAACCTCTGTGCTTGTGACACAGGGTATTTCTCAGTAGCTAGAAGGAGGGCCATAGAGGACCCTGAAGAGCCTGTGGGACTATTCTGAGAAGAGCTGTATGTACAGTCAGGTCTCAACAGAAGATTCAACCCCTTCATGCCCCTCTTCCCCAACCAACCTGTCTGTTGAAGATAGTCCTAGCCAAGAGCTGGGCAGCATGGGGGGGGGGGGTGCATTTGAGCCCTGCCCTTGTCAGAGCAAACAGCTGTTTGAGCCTGCACTGCCCCTCTTCCTCCTCCAGGGGACTGTTCTCTGTGACATCATCCTGCTCAATTTCCTCAAAGGGGCTGATCACTACAAAGCCAGGAAGTTTGAGGAGGTGAGCTGGGGAGACTGGAAAGCAAAGGAAGCAGGGCAAGGAGGGCTGCTGGGCCCTGGGGACACTCAATGGCTTACTGTCCCCAGTGCTCTGAACCAATTTCAGTGGGCCTCCGTTGGTATGTGGGGTCCAAGAGAGAGCTAGGCCAAGAATGGACTCTGGAGATTTCAGGCTGGGTGTAGTTCAGGGTCCTGTGTTTACCTAGCATGCACAATGACACCAGTCCTTCCCTTACAAGAAAAAAACTGGGAGGGGGTAGTTCTTTGGGTCATTGTCAACCTATGCACCACTCACTGTCACTTGTCCATGCCTCAGGCAGGACAGATCCTGCCTGGAAATGGCCCAGGTTATAGTTTTCCCTTGGAATGCATGCACGATCCTGGGCTCTCAGAGACTTACTCTACCTCCCTAATGACCAGGCAGCCCCACCCCACTCCACTGCTGGTTCTGTCAAAGGGGTCACTTTGGAAGATCCCATCCCACATCAAACATGACAATGCCAACTTTTATGCTTGCAGGTGAATGAGACAACACTGAAGGGCACCACCTCTACCAACCCAGTGTTCCCCAGTGACCAGGCCACTGTGGAGAAACAGTCCACAGACTCAGGCGCCTACTCCATTGGCCACTAGGGCCTCTTCCCAGGGTCCCATGCTCAACCTTAGGCTGCAGGACTCCCAATGGACCACTCTATCTGGGCAGATGAGGGTGGGATAGGGAAGAGAGAGGCTCTCATTTCTGCTGCTCACCCAAAAGACCACAGCCAGGTATCTAGACCCTCACTGTTCAGCAGACAGGTAATTTCCCACTAAGATCAGAATCTTACCTTTTCCCCTTGCATGCCTCCTATCTGCTTCCCAGGGTCCTGAGGCAGCAGGATCCATCCTTTTGCAAAGGATAGAGAAAATAGTTGCTAGGGTAACACCCATAGGGGGCTACCAAGTATCAGGTACTTCCATATGCATTATCTCATTGAGCCCTTAAAATAATCCTATAAGGTATGTTTCTGATTTTTGTTTTTGAAGAGAAGCAAAGGCTCAGGGAGACCGAGTCATGGCCAGAGAATGAGATTTATACCCAGATCTAACTCCTTTGCCCACATCTATGAGGGAAGAATGAACTTCCTCAGTGTATACCCTTTGTGTCAGTTGCCTTTCTCTGCCTTTCCCATGACTAGCACCATGAGCTTCCTCAGGAGTGTAGGCCCTACTTTAGGGAAGCCCAGTGAGATGGAGTATAAACTCTCATTTCTAACTTGGCCAAATCTAGCTTCAGAAGAAAATATGAGGTATGCCTGTCAGTGAATTTTTCCTTGCATATCCCCGTATCTCAAGCCCAAATTGAGGAATAGACCTTTATTCTCCAGGTAGGCCCTCACACACATAGACCCTCATTCCAGAATTCAGATAGAACACACACACACACACACACACACACACACACACACACACACACACACACCACGACAGGTGAGAAGTGATTTCTAAACCTAGCACACCCCAGGACATCAGCTGTCCTTGTTTAAATATTATTGGAAAAACCTCAGTTAGGGGCTAGGGCTGTAGCTGAGTAGGTATAGTGCTTGTTTAGCATGTATAAAGAAAGCCCTAGGGCCAACCTCTAGCACTATATACACTAGGTATGGTGGCATACACCTTTAATCCCAGCATTCAGGAAGTGGAGATAGGGTCCAGCCTGAGACCCATAAAAACGTCTCAAAAAAAGAAGCCAGGCCTGTACCATGTGATCCTAACATATGGTCAGTTAAGAGCAAAGAGGGCCTCAGAAACCATCATGTCCAACCCTCTTGCTTACAGATCATCAGCACTGAGGCCAGAGATGGAAAATGGCTTGCCTTGTGTCCTGTGCTCAGAACAGAAGTCAAGTCCACTTTGTCTCCATTGACTCAGATGTCCTGTCTCCTTTCTAGACTGTTAAAGAAAAGGGGAGAGGGAGAGGAAGCCCTAAATCGCACAGGGACAGATCAAGGTTTGAGAAAGAAGCAGCTTGAGAGGCTTTTTTGTTTTGGGTTTTTTTTTTTTTTTCTGTTTTGGTTGGTTGGTTTTTGATGAAAAGACTTTGTTTGCTATGTATCCTTGGCTGGCCTCAACCTTTCCCCAGTACTGGGATTTACAGACAAATGCCATCATCCAGCTATGGGTGTCTGTTTAAAATGAATACAGAATTAGGTATCAGGTTCATGCAAGTGAATTGGGACTGAGGTATAAATTTCCTTAGTGTCAGGGCCAATTTGCTCTGGGAACATGGTCTTAGCAGAGCTGAACATACATGTAGACAGAGGGCTGGTCCCTCATCCGAAGGTACAGAGAGATGAGGGGAAGGGGTAGTCCAGGAGTGCTTTGGGGAGGCTTCTACAGGAGTGCTTGAACAGACACAGCCCTGATGATCCCCACCCCAGGGGGAGAAGGGGTAAAAGTCCTCCCACCAGGGTCATCAGCCCTTCCCTCCCTGTGCTTGTTCCCAGCCCCCATCATTATGGGCAATGGGATACTATCTCCCCAGCACCAGCATCAGGTCCTGGGTAGTATCAGGAGACCTGGCCAGGCTTCATCTCTTCAGCAGAGATATCAGTAAGGGAAACAGCACATCCTCCAGTAAGAATGCACACAGCCCCCTTTAAACTAAGGCTGAGCTCACGGAGATGCTTCCTAGTAAGAGATGGAGGCCCTGTCCTGGAAGGCAATGATACCCCAGACTAAGATAATCCTCCCCTGAGGGCCTGAGCCTCTTCTGGAACTTCCAGTAAGTGTGTAAACCCCATTCTCTGCTCTCTTTGTCTGAATCAAGTCCTAGATGTAGGCTAATAGTAGAAATTACAACAGCCAGCTTATATCTGATAAACTGTGGTTTACTCAGCGCCATCACCAACATAGTCACACGGGCCCTGACCACACCTGGGGAGGTTTCTGTGGTTTGTTATTAATTTTATTTGGTAGAAAAACAAATAGACAGTTCTTGGAACTAGAGCTGGAAGTTGTGTTCACTCTCAAAGCTACATTGCTTGGCCTACAAGCTGTCAGTCGGTGGTGGAGTGGCTCACCATTGGCAAGCTGTTTGCCAAATGTATGGCAGGCATTGCCTAATTCAATCTTCATTTTACAAAGGAAACTGAGGCTGAGTAAAATGAAGGGATGGAAGTCAAACTGACTTGAACCAAGAGATTTGTGATGCTTGAGTATAAGATGTTGACTTCTGTGGTACATCTATTGGGGGAAAAGTCAGGAAACTTGTTGACTGGTCTTTTATCTATATATGTTACCTGGGCTAAGCAATATCTTGCTGTGGTAAGTTGTAAAATCTAAGCTGAAATGTCTTCCTTACTGCTCACCCTCCCACCCCAGCAACAATCCCACTTTCTCTTTAGAAGCATTGAGATAAGAGTCCACTTACTACAGTGTTTGACACAGGGACCTACGTGGCACCCACTCCTAGGCCGCTCCACCTCCTTGACAGGATGCTATGCCATGATTAGGAGCAGAGGCAACAATCCTTCCACCAAGACAGACCTGGGCATCCACCATCAGTGAGGTGAATTGGTGCCAGTGCCTGATTATTCATGACCAAAGACCTCCATATTCAAAGGGATTATATATGCTGTTTCTCCCTAACCACTAAGACTGTGCCCCATTTCTGCTCAAATCCAGTAGCCTTAGAGATAGAATATGTGGGGTACTAGCATTTTTGCTCCTGAAGCCATATTGCATCAGATGCATATACAAACATAAACTATACATAGTTGCTTATTGATACACCTACATACCTATGACTAAAGACACAGGTAAATATACATGTATATGTGCAGAGACTCGGGTATATAAAGGTGTAAAGTTACACAAACACATCTATAGCCAAGTTTCCACAAATATACAGAGAGGTGCAAAAGTGTACACACAACATGCCAGTGCAATCACATACATTCACACACACCTATGTAGGTTCACACACAGATATGCGCATCCCTGCATACACAAAATATAGATGTGCACATTTATGAGTACATGTACAGAAATTCTCTCACCATAAGCATACACACATACAATTTGAGGTTCTCTCTATAATCTTTAATACCTAGTCTCAACTCTGAACTTACTGTTCTGTCTACTCTAAATCCTTTTTTTTTTTTTTTTTTTTTTTTTTTTTTTGCAAAATCCTTCTAGCCCCATGTCCTAGCTAGCATAAAGTTAAAAGTAACAATGATATTCCCCCCTCAGTCTCTCCAGGTCTGAGAAAGTGAATGAAGGAATGCAAAGGCCCAAGATAATAGAACTAAGGGTAGGATCTGTGCTGTTGCTAATCTCTTGCCTTTGGCTTCTGAGTAGAGGACAAATCCCTTCAAAATAGTGGCCTCTTTTTCAGAAAGGGTGGGTGATAAAGGAGACAGCCTCCTCTCTAGGGACTTCTCTCTCAAGAGGGGCCTGGGAGAATGGGAAATGAGAGTCATTGCTAGATGCCCAAAAGCATTTCACTAGAGGAACAGACTTCTTGAAAAGAGGGTTTCCCAGGGCTGGAGAGATGGCACAGCTATTGGGATCACTAGACGATCCTAGACGATCCAGGTCCAATTCCCAGCACCCTCATGGTAGCTCACAACTGTCTGTAACTCCAGGATCTGACACCCTCACACAGACATACATGTAGGCAAAACACCGATGCAAATAAAGTACAAATTTTAAAAAGAGGGTTTTCATCCCATGCCCTCAGGGGACCCCCACATTCAATCTCAGTATTGCACATCAGCTCTTGAGTAAGCCCCTCCTGCTCCATTTTGAAAGCCACTCAACTCCTCATAATGAGACCCAGCCAAGGCAGGATGGGTTCCCCAGCAGACAAATCTTCTTTGCTCCCCTCTCACTGGATAAAAAGGTGGATTCAGAGCCCATGAAGAAGAAACTGCAGAGAGCATTGCTCAGCTTTCTGGTGACTCAGTACTGCCCACCACATATTGCCCCAAGCTCTGACACTGCTCCCCACCCGCATCAGGCTGCCTAGTCCCTCCATCTTTAACTCCCAGGGTTTTCCCAAAAAGCAAGAATCTCCAAGAAGGGACAGTGATGAAACAAGACTTGTTGGGCATGGTGGGCATACCTTTATCCTAGCACACGGAGGCAGAGACAGCCAGTTCTCTGTGAGTTCAAGGCCAGCCTGGGCTATAAAGCAAGTTCCAGGAAGGAAAGAAAGAAAGAAACAAGATTTAGGAGATGCAGTGGGAAGCCTGACTTTATGACCAGGAGAAACAGGGGACAGAATTGAATGCCAAAGGATGGGATGCCTGCAGCCAGGGCAGGAGGTTCCAAGGCAGGTCTCCCTCCAGCTTAGAATGAGCAGATGAAAGGCAGGCGGCTTTTACATGAAGCTCTTTTCCAATGGCCCCCTGCAGCAGAGAACACAGTGATATAAACTGGCTTGGGTCTGCACTGAGTTCCACCCCACCATCGTCATGTACCTCTGTATCCCCTTCCATGGCTGCCATCATCTTCGGAGAAGGAGATTTGTGACATTAATTTGCTATACCATGGCTGTTAGGTAGCAGGGGTGGCACGTGAATCACAGCCCTCTTGATCTAGTATGCACTCAGCCACTAACTACACTGAAGTGCCTCACATCTGCTACACAAGCTGCTCCCCACATCTGCAGCTGGAAGCTA